GGCAGAATGGGGTTGGACTGGATGAAGGCCCATGAGGTCTCTTCCAACTCTTTGATTCTATGATTCTATGATAAGCCGTCCCCTGCCGCATGTTGCTGTGGCCCAGTCTGTGTATATGTGTTTTGTGTGTGTATATATATGTGTGTTTATGTGTGTGTGTGTATATATTTGTGTATATATGTGCGTTTGCATATATATATATATATGTGTGTGTGTGTGTGTGTGTGTGTGTGTGTGTGTGTGTGTGTGTGTGTGTGGGGGGGTGTATATATATGTGTGTATATATCTGTGTGTTTATATGTGTACATGTATATTGTGTATATGTGTGTGCTTGTCTATATGCATATTTGTGTGTATGTATGTGTATATGTATGTGTGCATGTGTATATGTATATGTGTGTATGTATATGTATGTCCATATGTGCATATTTGTATGTGTTTGTGCATATATATATGTGTGTGTGTGTATGAATGTGTGCATGTATATATGTATATAAGTGTATGTGTATATGTATATGTGTGTATGTTCATATTTGTGTGTGTTTGTGCATACATGTGTGTGTGTGTGTATGAATGTGTGCATGTGTATATGTATATGTGTGTATGTATATGTATGTGTGTATATGTGCATATTTGTATGTGTTTCTGCATATATGTGTGTGTGTATGAATGTGTGCATGTGTATATGTATATAAGAGTATGTGTATATGTAGATATGGTGTATTTTTTGGTTTTTAAGTTTGTTCCGCTGGGGTGTGTGTGTGTGTGTGTGTGTGTGTGTGTGTTTCGGGGTGATGGACACGCGTTGGACTATTAGCTGTCTTGTGTCCAAATTTGGTGTCAATTCGTCCAGTGGTTTTTGAGTTACATTAATCCCACAAACGAACATGACATTTTTATTTATATAGATAGTATTTATATTCTTTAGGTTTTACTGTAAGTAGTGTTGAGTCCCTTTAGTAGAGAGAGAGAAAAAGCAGAGTATTATTAATAATAATAATAATAATAATAATAATAATAATAATAATAATGAGGAGGAGGAGGAGGATAGTGTCCTCACCCTAAATATCAATGA